GAGTGAGTGCATGTGTGTGTGAGTGAGTGTGAGTGAGTGTGTGTGTGAGTGTGAGTGAGTGTGTGCGTGTGTGTGTGTGCGAGTGTGAGCTGAATGTGTGTGTGTGCGTGAGTGTGTGAGTGTGTGTGAGTGTGAGAGTGTGAGAGTGTGTGAGTGTGTGTGCGTGAGTGTGAGTGTGTGAGTGAGTGTGAGCTGAATGTGTGTGTGTGCGTGAGTGTGTGTGAGTGTGTGTGAGTGTGTGCGTGAGTGTGAGAGTGAGTGCGTGAGCGTGTGTGTGTGTGCGAGTGTGAGAGTGTGTGAGTGTGTGTGTGAGAGTGATGAGTGTGTGTGTGTGTGAGAGAGAGTGAGTTGCGTGAGTGTTGAGCGCGTGTGTGTGTGCGAGTGTGAGAGTGAGTGCGTGAGTGTTGAGTGTGTGGGTGTGCGTGAGTGTGAGAGTGAGTGTGTTGGTCACTCACCAGCCCGTGTTGGCCAGAGCGATGGACACGGAGCTCAGCAGCAGGTTACACTTGGACTCGCTGACCACAGCTTCACAGTTGGTTCCCGGAGAAATCACCACGAACTCACGCACACCGAACCTGCGACAGAGACCAACGGACAGCGCTGAGAAACCTGCTCCACTTTCAAGAGATGCATCAGATCAACCTGGAACCTCTGCAATTACACCGGCTTCTCTGAAGACTGCTTACTCAGGAAACCCACTCTGACAACATGCAGCTTCACACATCCCTACACAGACAGTTCAGATTTGATTTGCTCCTGCACTCAGACGTGAACTTCCTCAGTCTTCTTACCATCTGACGAGACAGTGAGCTCGCGGAGGAAAGTCATTGTTCATGCAGAGCAGGTCCTGCAGGGCCAGCGGACACACATCTGAAAGCACAGACACCGCTCAACAGCAAACACACGCAGAAGAGGTCAAAGGTCAGCCGAGCAGGTCAAAGGACACGCATACCTTCCTCTGCTTCCTCCCTGCTTCCATTCTCAGCTGACTCCTGCTTCAGACAGTGATGTGTGATGGAGAACTTGAAATCAGCAAAGTTGATCTCCTGTGTGTTTTCCTCCCACGAGCTGCTGGTGATCTCACCCTGACAACATCAGCACTGAGTCAGAGCAGGTCAGCATCCTCAAACATGAGATGAACACTAGAACTGAAACAAGCTCAAGCTCTAGAATTACTAACTGGAAACACTAATCGGGCTACTTTAACACTGTTCCCGCGGGTTGAAGCGACACCAATAACGTGATATTTAGCCCCTGGAATCCAATCGGTGTTCGGTTTTGTTGTGAAACCTGGCAACCCTGAACCCGACCCGCCCTCAAACACATCATTTCTCTAATCTCTGGGAGTTCAACACAGGATTCACAAACAGCTCTCGAGAGAGAGGAATCAGATCCAGTTTATTTGGCCCTGCTGACGCCACCGAATCACTAACTGTAAGTATGATAAATCATAGATGTTTATATTTTCTATCGAGCGTTCAAAAGTAACAGCGGGAGTATACGCCGTAGACCAATCACAGCAGACCGGGCCATCTGACCAATCAGAGCAGAGCTTCGAGAGACTGAATCTTTGAACTGCTTCGAACGAATCGTTTGAGAATCGCTGGAAAATGAGGTGATATTAAAAGCATATTTTGATCAAACAAAAGCATTGTTTAACCTATTGGAGGAGACTCCCACAAAAAATATTAGGAACCTCAAAAATGGCATAATAGGGGCACTTTAATCGGCTGGAATCGCGTTATAGTTGTTCATTTGAACTGACCGTCTGCAGGAAAGTTTAGATGGTATTTTCTTTTAATCTCGTCTCTCCATAATGTATATTACAGTAGTGTATATCACGGTAACCATGGAAACGCTGTGTCTGCTGCTGCACGAGCGCCTCCTGCTGTCAGAGAGTGATACTGCGTCTCATTCAGAGCGTCTGCGGTTTCTGACATGATTTCACAAGACTAAAGTCAAACCTGTTTTTCTTCATTCTGCTTTTGCTTAAAATTTGGATTTGAACCTAATTTAAATTAAAAACTCGCGTATGCAGCATGTGTGTGTGTGAATGTGATCATCAGTCATCGGCTGACCTTCTCCAGCGGTTTCCCGACACGAGACCCGATCAGCTTCCAGTCATTCAGCAGCTCCTCGAGCCGGGATATGAACCTGCACACACACACACACACACACACACACACAAGCACACGCACACACATGCACACACACACAGAGACACACACACACACACCTGTGAGCTACCTGACAGACTAACGCGCACACACACACAGACACACACACACCTGTGAGCACCCTGACAGACTAACGCTAAACACACACAGACACACACACACCTGTGAGCACCCTGACAGACTAACGCTAAACACACACAGACACACACACACCTGTGAGCACCCTGACAGACTAACGCTAAACACACACAGACACACACACACCTGTGAGCACCCTGACAGACTAACGCTAAACACACACAGACACACACACACCTGTGAGCTCCCTGACAGACTAACGCACACACACACAGACACACACAGAGACACACACACAGAGACACACCTGTGAGCTCACTGACAGACTAACGCTAAACACACACACACAGACACACACACACCTGTGAGCACCCTGACAGACTAACGCTAAACACAGACTCACAACCAGACGAAGACACAGTTTAACAGAGTGTGTGCTTGTGCTTTCCAGCAGTCTCAGTGTCACATCAGCAGTCTATCACACAGAAACATCCCGATCATTGATGAACTCGCACACTAACCCTGGCCTGAAGAAGGGTTTAGTCAGAAAACTGAACTGAAAGCTAATAAATCACCATAGATTCGCTATTTCACATGAGTTTCCACCATCTGTCCATCCCTGAACTGGAGCTTCATCTTCATCTTCATGATGAAAACAGCAGTAAATCATCAGTAAAGCAGGTGTTAGGAGTGTGTGTGTGTGTGTGAGAGAGTGTGTGTGTGTGTGAGAGAGAGAGAGAGAGAGAGAGAGAGAGAGAGAGAGAGAGAGAGAGAGAGAGAGAGAGAGAGAGAGAGAGAGAGAGAGAGAGAGAGAGAGAGAGAGAGAGAGAGAGAGAGAGAGAGAGAGAGAGAGAGAGAGAGAGAGAGAGAGAGAGAGAGAGAGAGAGAGAGAGAGAGAGAGAGAGAGAGAGAGAGAGAGAGAGAGAGAGAGAGAGAGAGAGAGAGAGAGAGAGAGAGAGAGAGAGAGAGAGAGAGAGAGAGAGAGAGAGAGAGAGAGAGAGAGAGAGAGAGAGAGAGAGAGAGAGAGAGAGAGAGAGAGAGAGAGAGAGAGAGAGAGAGAGAGAGAGAGAGAGAGAGAGAGAGAGAGAGAGAGAGAGAGAGAGAGAGAGAGAGAGAGAGAGAGAGAGAGAGAGAGAGAGAGAGAGAGAGAGAGAGAGAGAGAGAGAGAGAGAGAGAGAGAGAGAGAGAGAGAGAGAGAGAGAGAGAGAGAGAGAGAGAGAGAGAGAGAGAGAGAGAGAGAGAGAGAGAGAGAGAGAGAGAGAGAGAGAGAGAGAGAGAGAGAGAGAGAGAGAGAGAGAGAGAGAGAGAGAGAGAGAGAGAGAGAGAGAGAGAGAGAGAGAGAGAGAGAGAGAGAGAGAGAGAGAGAGAGAGAGAGAGAGAGAGAGAGAGAGAGAGAGAGAGAGAGAGAGAGAGAGAGAGAGAGAGAGAGAGAGAGAGAGAGAGAGAGAGAGAGAGAGAGAGAGAGAGAGAGAGAGAGAGAGAGAGAGAGAGAGAGAGAGAGAGAGAGAGAGAGAGAGAGAGAGAGAGAGAGAGAGAGAGAGAGAGAGAGAGAGAGAGAGAGAGAGAGAGAGAGAGAGAGAGAGAGAGAGAGAGAGAGAGAGAGAGAGAGAGAGAGAGAGAGAGAGAGAGAGAGAGAGAGAGAGAGAGAGAGAGAGAGAGAGAGAGAGAGAGAGAGAGAGAGAGAGAGAGAGAGAGAGAGAGAGAGAGAGAGAGAGAGAGAGAGAGAGAGAGAGAGAGAGAGAGAGAGAGAGAGAGAGAGAGAGAGAGAGAGAGAGAGAGAGAGAGAGAGAGAGAGAGAGAGAGAGAGAGAGAGAGAGAGAGAGAGAGAGAGAGAGAGAGAGAGAGAGAGAGAGAGAGAGAGAGAGAGAGAGAGAGAGAGAGAGAGAGAGAGAGAGAGAGAGAGAGAGAGAGAGAGAGAGAGAGAGAGAGAGAGAGAGAGAGAGAGAGAGAGAGAGAGAGAGAGAGAGAGAGAGAGAGAGAGAGAGAGAGAGAGAGAGAGAGAGAGAGAGAGAGAGAGAGAGAGAGAGAGAGAGAGAGAGAGAGAGAGAGAGAGAGAGAGAGAGAGAGAGAGAGAGAGAGAGAGAGAGAGAGAGAGAGAGAGAGAGAGAGAGAGAGAGAGAGAGAGAGAGAGAGAGAGAGAGAGAGAGAGAGAGAGAGAGAGAGAGAGAGAGAGAGAGAGAGAGAGAGAGAGAGAGAGAGAGAGAGAGAGAGAGAGAGAGAGAGAGAGAGAGAGAGAGAGAGAGAGAGAGAGAGAGAGAGAGAGAGAGAGAGAGAGAGAGAGAGAGAGAGAGAGAGAGAGAGAGAGAGAGAGAGAGAGAGAGAGAGAGAGAGAGAGAGAGAGAGAGAGAGAGAGAGAGAGAGAGAGAGAGAGAGAGAGAGAGAGAGAGAGAGAGAGAGAGAGAGAGAGAGAGAGAGAGAGAGAGAGAGAGAGAGAGAGAGAGAGAGAGAGAGAGAGAGAGAGAGAGAGAGAGAGAGAGAGAGAGAGAGAGAGAGAGAGAGAGAGAGAGAGAGAGAGAGAGAGAGAGAGAGAGAGAGAGAGAGAGAGAGAGAGAGAGAGAGAGAGAGAGAGAGAGAGAGAGAGAGAGAGAGAGAGAGAGAGAGAGAGAGAGAGAGAGAGAGAGAGAGAGAGAGAGAGAGAGAGAGAGAGAGAGAGAGAGAGAGAGAGAGAGAGAGAGAGAGAGAGAGAGAGAGAGAGAGAGAGAGAGAGAGAGAGAGAGAGAGAGAGAGAGAGAGAGAGAGAGAGAGAGAGAGAGAGAGAGAGAGAGAGAGAGAGAGAGAGAGAGAGAGAGAGAGAGAGAGAGAGAGAGAGAGAGAGAGAGAGAGAGAGAGAGAGAGAGAGAGAGAGAGAGAGAGAGAGAGAGAGAGAGAGAGAGAGAGAGAGAGAGAGAGAGAGAGAGAGAGAGAGAGAGAGAGAGAGAGAGAGAGAGAGAGAGAGAGAGAGAGAGAGAGAGAGAGAGAGAGAGAGAGAGAGAGAGAGAGAGAGAGAGAGAGAGAGAGAGAGAGAGAGAGAGAGAGAGAGAGAGAGAGAGAGAGAGAGAGAGAGAGAGAGAGAGAGAGAGAGAGAGAGAGAGAGAGAGAGAGAGAGAGAGAGAGAGAGAGAGAGAGAGAGAGAGAGAGAGAGAGAGAGAGAGAGAGAGAGAGAGAGAGAGAGAGAGAGAGAGAGAGAGAGAGAGAGAGAGAGAGAGAGAGAGAGAGAGAGAGAGAGAGAGAGAGAGAGAGAGAGAGAGAGAGAGAGAGAGAGAGAGAGAGAGAGAGAGAGAGAGAGAGAGAGAGAGAGAGAGAGAGAGAGAGAGAGAGAGAGAGAGAGAGAGAGAGAGAGAGAGAGAGAGAGAGAGAGAGAGAGAGAGAGAGAGAGAGAGAGAGAGAGAGAGAGAGAGAGAGAGAGAGAGAGAGAGAGAGAGAGAGAGAGAGAGAGAGAGAGAGAGAGAGAGAGAGAGAGAGAGAGAGAGAGAGAGAGAGAGAGAGAGAGAGAGAGAGAGAGAGAGAGAGAGAGAGAGAGAGAGAGAGAGAGAGAGAGAGAGAGAGAGAGAGAGAGAGAGAGAGAGAGAGAGAGAGAGAGAGAGAGAGAGAGAGAGAGAGAGAGAGAGAGAGAGAGAGAGAGAGAGAGAGAGAGAGAGAGAGAGAGAGAGAGAGAGAGAGAGAGAGAGAGAGAGAGAGAGAGAGAGAGAGAGAGAGAGAGAGAGAGAGAGAGAGAGAGAGAGAGAGAGAGAGAGAGAGTGTGTGTGTGTGAGAGAGAGTGTGTGTGTGTGTGTGTGTGTGTACCTCTCCCACTCGGACGCGGTGGTGAAGTCAGTGATCTCAAACACTTCAGACTCGGGCTGAAACACAAACCAGCGACTCTGATTACTGAGGACACGTGACAGCTAAAGCATATACATCTCTAATAACTGCGTGTGTTTAGATGAAGATAATCATGACGCGCACTTAGACACTAAACTCACATCGCTGTCCGCCGCCATCTTGCCTCTCTGTTTACTCCTGTCCTGGTGCATTGTGGGAAATGTACCGCCGTGCGGCGCTGCGTCTGTGAAGATCTGGCAAATAAAAATGTAATTAAATTAAATAAAATCTGTAGAAACAATGAGAGCACTATGCTAATATGCTGTTCTGATTCGAGCCAATGTATTAAAATAATAGATAAATATTTTTTGGCTTATATGTTATACTTCTTGGCTTATATTTATATTTGTATACCTTTCCTTTTTTATTTTATGCATTGCTTTCCTTTGTTTGCAATAAGGATATTGGGATTGATATTACATTACAAATAAAGAGTTCCTGACAAAACTACAGTAAACTACAGTCATCCTGTACTTCACATGATAACGTTTTGTTTGAATATGAGGACACATTTCTAACCGGATGTGCTGCGCCTCTCGATTAAACTACATTTCCCAGAGTTCCTCGGCTCGAACTGCTTCCGTGTTCCGCGCGCAGCTTCCGGCAGCTGTGAGTTGTCGAATCTCTCAGAAGCGCAGCAGCAGAGCTTCATCCTCCTCCTCCTCTTCATCATGCGCTGGTTCGAGGGCTCGATCCCGGCGGCCATCGCGGCAGCTAAAGAGCGCAGATGCGTGTTTGTGGTGGTGATCACAGGTACATCATCATCATCTTCATCATCATCATCGTCACTCTCTCCTCAGGCCCGTGTTTAGATGAGTTTAATGAGTCGACAGTCTTCATCCGCGCGGTCATTATAATACTGTGTGTCTGTGTGTCTGTGTGTCTGTGTGTCTGTGTGTCTGTG